CGCAACAGGTTTCCCAGTCACAGTAAGCACATGGCTCACACAATGCCGATTTTCGACTGTGCTTGGGCACCCAATCAGAAAATGGCATACAGCAGCCTGCTCACAAACATCGGCTGGTGCACTCATCGAGTTTTAACACTCTGTACATCAACACTTGCAGGTCTTGAATGCACTGTCCGTACTGACCATCTTCCACACACAATGCTACTCTTTGTTCTGATTTACAACCACAACGATTTCATTTTTGACAAATTTCGAAACTCAGGTGACTCAGGAATAAATTTGGTATCATTGGGGCTTGTTCCTGCACGAGGCACTCAAACAGCTCATGAACGTCATTAACTGGTTGGCTTTTTGAGAACAATAAAGTCTGCTCCACCGTCTTCGACCAGACACGTTTGCGAATCAAGCCGTCGCGAGGTGACAATTCCGTAGCCTGCTGTTTGCGTCATTTGTAGTATTCCATTTTAGGGACCAGCAAACAACGCGAGGGAGGGTTTTCATAACAATTTCACGCGCAAATACATGTCGATGTAATTATTACGATTAGCACTTACCAATGATTTTCCAGACATTTTTACCACAGCGTCTTCCTGTAAGCAAAGAGAAGGTTTTAAGTGAAGTACCGATTGGTTTAAAGTGATCGACGCCCCTCTCTCAATTAGTTAGAACCAACTACATCGATAGTTGTAGCTAAGGCTGTTTCTGCCTTGAAAGGGTTTCAAGTACAGACTTGTTACGTCCTTCTTTAAATCCGAGGTCTTATGGTTGAGATCCGGGGCAAATAAGCGTACCTTTGTTTCTGCTGCTGCAATCACCTTCGCGACATCATCATCGTCGTCGTCTTCCTCTTCATCCATGCCTGGTGACTCCTTCGAAGCCTCGTTTTCGTGCTGTAATGAGCATTCAACAATATCAGTAGTTCATGGCCATATCCTATACTCACCTCAAAACACACGATTCCACGTTATTGAAGCTACGTGTTCATCGTCGCTGTCAATGAATGGGAGCGCACATTCACGTAAACGCACACACGGATGCACAAACGTGATCCACTCTGTCGACAAAATGCTATCCCGGAGGCCCTTTACTATGGTGCCCTCTGCAGACTATCGGATAGGTTTGTACCAAGTAATAATCCATAGTTTAACAGCTTCCATTAATTAGCTTTCGTCATGGTCACAGCAAGTGAGCACTTTGCCATCCACTGCGAAGGAATATGCCAGTAGGAAACTAACTTTACCGGGAGAATGCTCTAGGCTAACCGCGAGAGAATCTGAAAATTCATTGCAACATACCTGTGTGGATGGATCAAAGTGACATCATTGAATGTGACCCTTCAAAGTGGACATTCAATCTGGGGTTAATCAATTATAGCCTTCTCCCAACCTGAAACCTTTATTTATATTTTCTTCCACCTACCTAGAAGTATATCTGTAGCGTACTCTGTGGGCTTGGAGATTTACAACTATTGTAAATCTGTCGGATTCCTAACAGCTTTCAGGTTCTTTGATCGAATCCCTAAGCCGATGAACAATCCGTCGCACGCTGTTGGCTTCCAACTTCTTGGCATTGATATTACACCATTTTTTGTGAATGCAGATGTTCTCCTTAACTGACAACTAACGGCCTTAGGGTGCCTTCATGCTCTTATTTAAGTGATCGACAACAGCATCATGTTCAGTCCTGCCCAACGTGTTCAGTTAGAAAATCAACAATGCAACACACTATTTGCAGAATTAACATCTTAAACATCAATCCCAGACGATTAATGCGGTGTTTTGGACAAATAGATAAAGTGACGTACACTAGTTTTTACTAAGCTCGCGTACTGGCCATCCTTGATTGCCATTAGTTGATCATGGGTGCCCATTTCAACAACTTGACCCTTGTTCACCACGACGATCGTGTCTGCGTCCCTAACTGTGGACAGACGATGGGCAACGACGACCACAGTTCTACCAACTTTGGCGTTGTCCAGGGCTCTCTGAACGGACTTCTCCGACTTTGTGTCCAGAGCGGACGTCGCCTCGTCCAGAAGGAGAATGCGCGGCTTCCGGATCAGGGCTCTTGCGATGGCCAAGCGTTGCTTTTGGCCACCAGACATGGCGCCACCACCTTCTGCGATGAACGTATTATAAGCCTGAACAGAATAAATAAATTTACTTTTATAAATTGCCCATAAAAGTTGGCCCCGGGACAAGCACAAGAAAAGATAGGTTATACGTGAAATAAGGTAAGAATCAAAAATTTGGACTATAACCAATTCATATATCTGATTTTGGAACTTAAATAAGCAGAAGACACTAAAAATAATACAAATGATGAAGAATTTGGAATTTACAGCATCAATAAATGATGTTGAAGTGGAAAAGATGAACTGTAAAGGTTAGCCTACTGTAAGATGGTAGTCAAATCACGTAAAAGTAAGCTAATGGAGACGCAAATTATGACTAAAAATCATTTCCACTCGCAAGGTCTCAACAGGGCCAGGTCTACACTATACAATCTCAAAATGAACTTGTGCATCGACAGAGTAGCTGAAGGAATAAACGACAACATCGAGGCTATCGCTTTGCTTTGTCTCTATCTGATGACTACGGCCAGTGGTTTGATGTGCAACTCCAAGTCACCTGCACAGTGAATGGACTCAGAACAGCCGAGGAAAAGACCAGTGAAGTCTACAGTCGGGTTACAGGAGTGAAAACACAGATGACTCGGAAACGAAGGGAATGCAGGGTGATTTACAATACAGTGACGGTTTCTAGTGTCCAGTGTGTGTAATTAGCCCAGGAGCGGTGCACGACGGTTGCGCGCTACACGTCTAATGAAATCACAAATTAATGTCACCAAAATCTGCGTTTTTTATGGAGGTCGGCGTTGAGCAGTTCGAGGTGTAAGTGATTCAGTTTTACTGTGGAGCTACCAAGCAAAAACAGGCAACCGAGGGACTAAGCTGGCACAGTCATGGAGATTCACGCACACAACGAGGCAAATGCATAGCAAGACGGGTTAGGGTAAGAACTGCTCACAACCAACGAGTATGGCTGTTATCATCACGGCTTCCCTGGTTTAACTTACAACATACACAATTTTGTTCATTTGGTTAGGTTTGCATTCGCTAAATCTTTCATAGTCGCCTAAAATACCAAGGTCCTTTTTCCGGTGGAAAGGAGAACAAAAGCACCCCTAATCTTTCCCCCAAAATCCATGCTAATGATGGGTTTATCAAGGCATGTCGTTTGATTTATCCTTGATGAAACAGACCACTGACAGCTCAACTCGGAATTAAAAAATTCCCGGATGTTCATGGTGGACATGACAAAAAACCTGGGTCCATAACCACATCGGGGGCCACCAATTGTTGAAGCCAGATTGCGCTATGCGGGTAACCGAGGTGGGTAAGAGGATCAGAGGCGAAGGAGACACGACCGCTTGGTCGATGGCCCATCTGTGCTGTGGGTTTTGTGTTCATACAGGGTCGTGTCCCCCTCTACGTCACAGGCGCCCACAGGAGGTGCACGGTCAGACATGTTCGCACTAACGACGGGGCTCAACAGACTCGTAAATTACTGGAAAGTGGTTGAATTCCCAGGGTGTCTGGACATGCGCCGACAGAGATGGCGCGACAGATGGTCTGGGCATGCTAGAGTGGTCAATCTTATCAACAAATTTGAATACGCCGTGTGAGGCAAGTGGGCAGGTGCACGATATACAAATCAGCCAATTGCTCGAGCCTTATTGCATTTGAAAGACAAAACGGCGAGCTCGACTGGTTTTTGCCGAAGCCTTCACAATAATGGTGCGCCCGAAAAACCGTTATTTCGGTATTATGCAGAGACGCCTACACATTTTTCCATGCATATGTGATAAATTCTCTCGTACGAATTCAAAGTGTAGCATTGTTAAGATTGTGGATCCACGTGGAAAAATGTGATTTTAAATTTCAGATAAAACTCTCTGGCAAGTATCAAGTACCTAGTGCTTGATGCAGTGGAGTTGTTAGAGGGGGCTGGGGAATCGGTATCTCAAAGCGCCTTTCATGATAATGATGCTTTGTGATAAGTGTACTTGAGACAGTGATAGGAATACGTTTCTTCCGACCCACCGCAAAACACAGCGTACCATTAGGAATAAATACTTATTTTTCAGTTCAATAAAAAAATGCTCGTGAAAAAAGTTAGCCACAATCAGAGCAGTTTCAATTAGATTAGAACTGAATCCCCCAAGAAACCAACCCTAATTGGCAGTCGACTCAGAGAACGCCAGCTGATACTGTATTTGCCTATTATATATTAGTTTTGTGCAATACTATAATGGAGAGCGTGAAAACCAACTGGAACCAAGATTTGTTGCTGCCTTTCATTGGTTATTCAGTGAAATTGGGACCTTTAATTGGCTTGCCATTTATCAGCAAGCATCGAAATATATATTAAGTGCACCGTGATGTGGTTTCGACAAGTTCTTCCATCACTTTTCACGCTTCCGTTAGAATGGACTTACTCATAGTTGAGAAAATGGAATCGCTCTGTTTAAAGCTTGGCACCTGTGCACAATTTTATTGTGTGCCAATGAACTGCACCAACACCCGAAAAAATAACCATTTGCTCGCACTTTACGTGGACTTGATTTAACAGTCAGTGCTACTGTCATTGAATTAGGATAATATTGTAAGGATAGGGACGGAAACGAGGAACAAAAGAGCCATAGAATTGATTCGTGTTAGTTGCAAACACAACAACCTAAACCAGGAAATTTGTGAAGTGTACGCAGGGAGTGCGTTGACTCACCTCGGGTAACTTGCAGACGAAATCGTGAACACAGGCCAGTTTTGCTGCCTCCTCTACCTCCTCCTGACTCGCGTTCAAGGCACCAAGTTTGATGTTCTCGGTGACGGTTCCCGCAAAAAGCACTGGTTCCTGGGACACCACTCCCAACTGTGAGCGAAACCAGGCAAGGTCAAGATTGCGGATATCCTCACCGTCAATGATAATCTACATGGGAAGAAGAGGTACTGTCCTAAAACCTACGAAACACTCGGTATCGTTCTAAAGCTCTTCGCCTTCGTCACCGACTTCAGTCAAATGCTGAAAGCAAAACTAACTGATTGGGCGTTAATACTCGTTTCTATGGCTAACGAAACGGCAACTGCTACATGAAATGCCAAACGAGTGTAATCGAAATTGGTTTAACTGAAGGAGAGCGCAAAGTGCATACATTTAGGCCTCCGTCTGGGCAGCCACCATTGTTAGTCTGAAGAACCTTCAAAATTGCCACGCGAAAAATTCTGACCCCTGCACATTCTTGTCGGTTTGAACAACCACTCCTGCGCCAAATACAATTTTTTATGCAGCCTAATGGCTTAGACTCCATAACACTAGCACATACGACCTCTGATCCAACCACAGAGATCCCAAGGACTCGATTTCCATAAAGGATTAAATATCTTTATTCTTAAAGGGCATATAGAGTGCGACCACCTAACAAGCAGAAGCGTAAGTTTAAAAGTGGTCATACAGTAAGGGTAAATCTTCACTGAATGAGCAAAGTAATTGGAGCCTTACCTGACCATCATTTGCGTCGTAAAAACGTTGGATGAGTTGAATAACTGTGCTTTTTCCTGACCCACTGGCTCCCACAAGAGCAATAGTTTGTCCCGGTTTGATATTTAAACTAAAATTATTTAACACCTAGAAGGCATTCGTAAGAGGTAAATGTTTCTCACCTTGACTTGTTTTCGCATCGGGTACGCAAAGGAAACGTTCCTAAACTGAAT